GAGTTCAAAAGTTCTTTACCATTTTGCAATTTTCGCAATCCTTTTTAAGATTTTATAAAAAACTCTGAAAGAGAGATGACTTAAAGTTGTCTTACTCTATAATATCGATTTTATTCACTTATTCGGCAATCGTTAGAAATTAATATCTCGTTAATTGTTGCGTCCAATCTACCTGTCTACAAGCAATGTTAATAAGTTTGAAACACCCAAATCTGAAGGATTATACATTATACAATACTTAAAAAATTTTTGCATATCTATATATGTGTATATTTATTTTTATAATTATTTATAAAAATAAATAATATACATAATTTGTAAAAATAAATACATACATAATTTGTTATATGATGAGTTACAATTTTAATTTTCAATTGACATACTTATAAAATTACGTATTTTTTATAATTACAACGAATTGCGCTAATAATGACAATAAAAACTTGTTATACATTACTTCATCTCAATGAAAAAAAAATTCATGAAATCCACCTGCGCATCGTTTTGTTGAAGATGAATGAATGGAAGCTTAAACGAAATATCTGCTCCTCACTACTAGTAGAAAGCTGAAAAATAACATACATGTAACGGATATTCAAGAAAAACGTGCGATGTCTGTGATAATAAATTCGGAAGAGAACCGAAAAGTGGTTGAGAGGAAAAGAAAGATGAAAAAGACTTATTCTAGTCGGTGCGTTTATTAGATGAAAAAATGTGTGAAAGGATATTATGAGATAGTAATGAACGGGAAATTAGTGACGTGCAAATATAAATGAAAAGCGACGGTAAATATGTACAAAAAGGAGAGAAACTGTTCCGTTAACTAAATAAATGTCATACGAAATTTTTTTGAGCAAGAGAAATTTAAATAAAAAATGCAAATTGTAATTAAATATACGTTGAGAAGATGAGGAATGCGAGGCTAGAGAAAGAGGGCTAGCGAAAGCAATATGGCAGAAAAATAAAGATAAAAAATCCGTGATTGAAAAAAAAGATAAGAAAAAGAATAGATAGAAACGGAAGATCGCTAGGAAGGGAGGAACAAACGACCCAAAATTATAGTCTAAAGTAAAAATATAAGAGAAAAGAGTACAACTATGAATTGATATTGGTAGTGTAGGCGAAACGATAAAAATATGCAAAAATTGAACGAAAAGTATTCTGAACAGAATGGATTTGGGATCAGTGGATTTGAATCGTGAATGCGTAAATAGAGTAAGGGGCGAAAGAATAAATATACATAGTATATTGTTCGTCGCGAGGAGAAACAAAAGATGAGAGAGGAGAAGAAGAGAATAGGATAAAATTTACTAAATAAATTACTAATAACATGTTGTCATGTCAGAATAAAAATAATAGCTGTTGCTTTTATTTTATTCATTAATTTCATTCATGCGCATATTAAGTTGGACAGTTAAAATAATGACCGAGTTCTTTTTACGGATGTATGTGTCATCTCAAAGCATAATTCTCTTATTGATTTACAAATTATTTAATTTTTTTGTTTACCTCGATTTTTATGTAAAATCACTACTACTTTTGTACTACTTATTTAATAAGATCATAGCATTATGAATTAAATCAAAGTTTTATATAGTAATAAAACTCTGATCAATATTCGTGCAAAGAATCATTTGGATCCATTTACTTGGAAATTAAAAGTTATTTACTGCAGCAAAATATGATTATTTCATTACACAAAACCATTATAAATTATTTATTATTTGTTTTTTTACAGTTAGTTTCAGAACGTCTTTATGAGAAAAATTTTTTGGTTAATATTAGCTGATAGTATCTTGATTTTTAGCTGATTTTTTGATTAATAATATATTTCTAGCTGATAAATATACAACCAAAACATCTTTAATTTCTGAACAACTGTTTAAACGAAATTGGATAACTGCTTCTCTTTTTATAGGTAGATTGTAACGATAATATAATTAAGAGAGTCAAGGTTAACTATAATCGAGAAATAGACTTAATCTACTATAAGCAGGCATAAGTCCAGAACAAATTCGATTACTGTGGAAAATGACAGATTACTCCAAAGAATAAGAGTTAACTAGTATAAAGTAGGATTGTCTTGACATTAATATAGATAAACAGAGTTAAATGGGAAAGATGATTTGTGCTGAGGGATTGATTATTCGAAAGCGGAAGAATCCCAGTAGCATATGTTGGTTTTATATACGTTTCTTAAAACGTTTGTAGAAAATTAGATACGTTTAGAAAACGTATATAAAACATATATATGAACCAATAGGTGTTACTTGGGAAGTTTTGAGAGATATATATAAATAAGTGTTTAAAAATACTCCACTAAAGTAAATCTATGTGAAAAATCATAACGAGAATAAAGAGCATTTAATGAATGAATGAATACAAAGAATACGACGAAACACAACAATAAATACGAGAGTTCGCATAAACGATAATATAAACGATAAGTACGAGGATTCGTATGAAAGGTGTGAAGTAAACACACACACACACAGAGTGGCTCCGGATAATTGCTGCCTTCTTTCCTCTCTTTCTTTCTTTATCTCTTTTTCTTCTCATTAAAAGAGCTGTGCGGAACGAGCGAGTGAAGCTGAAAACCAGCGTTTCTCGAAGCGCAAGTAGGCTAAAGTGGAAATACGGGGGCAGCGGCAGCGGATCGGGTGGTGAAGGATGGAGGCGAATGGTGGCGGTGGGCGCAAAAGGGGTAGGAGTGGGAACTATGACGTCATCGTTGAGGGGTTGCCCGGGCAACGGAAAACGTTCGCCGCGTCGGGATACCGACGCGCGTCGCTACCGCCGCCGCCGTCGCCG